AGCTACGCTACAGCTCGCCCAGCATCAAGTAAAACAAAGCTTCTGTCAAAGTGCCACTTCATAACAACAACTTTATATACATAAATTAGTAAAGAATTAGCCGGAAACCCCTAGAAATCACGTTACATAGCACATTTTACACATTTCTAAATCAAAAGACCAAAGTTCCAAAACTTTTCGAATCAATGCAATTAAGTTCTATAGTACGCCGTTTAAAGAACATTTTCGAGACACAAAACATTATCGTATAAATTTAACACCGGTGTTTGGTCATTAGCAGTGTCATAACGTTGTTTTAAAATTTGTTCTTTCAAAAAAATTTATAATTGCACCGTGCAAACGGTAAAGTTAAATATTAAAATAACTTTTTTAATGTGGTACTTAAAAGTTTAACTTTTATAGTAAATAATAAAATTTGAGAGTACGATAACACAAATAAAAAATTAGAAAAATAAAGTTTGAGGTAAGACGGATATCGTTAAAAATCAAAAAATTGAGTGCACCGTGCAGACGATAAAGTTAATTTTTGCCATAACTTTTTCAATATAACTCGAAAGAAGGACGTATCTTAACTTTAGAATGACTTTCAGAAGTACTATAATGCCATATGAAATTTAGCAGACAATATTTTGAAATAGGGCGGATACCTTACACGATTAAAAAATTGACTGCACCGTGCAGACAAAAAACCATTTTCTTGCCATAACTAAAGAATACAAAGCCAAAGCCAAGCCAACTTTTAATTGAAAACATTCCCCACAATCTTCATCACGTCACAACGCCGCAGGGGATTTGGTTCCCGGAACCTTTAAACAATGTTTTCAACGTGAATGGCCGTTCTGTCCCAAAACGTGCAAACCCACAATATCTGATAGCTTGTTTTGTTTGTCGTAGCTGACGATGGGATTCTAATGCAAAATACAAAAACAATCCTGTCCTACCCTACAGTACTACGCTACCCTACACTGCCCTACATTACCCTACCCTACCCTACTCTGCCCTACCCTACCCTACCCTACCCTAACCTACCCTACCCTACCATACCCTACCCTACCCTACCCTACCTTATAAAAATTTACAGTAATCTATCCTGCTCTGCTCTAAAAATAAGCCTCCCCATACCTTCCGTGCCCCTACCACACCCTCACCCGTGCTTTAGACCAAAATCCAACGCCTATGAATCCTGGTCATAAACTATAAACAAAAAGGTAGAACGTTGAACGGGCAATTTTAAAAGTTTTCAGAAAAGTGTGAAAGTTCATGAAGATCAACCCATCCCTATTACAGCTCCCCTACCCACCTCCCCCCCCCTTTAATTAGCGCTGAAACAGTAAAACCCCAAGATTAATTTCCCAATGGACTATTGTTGTCGACCACCTCATTGTTACACCACCAGAATAGAAATACCATGGTAAAAGGCTTATTGTAAAGATATGGCAAATAACAAAACTAAAGTTTTAAAAATTCAAAAAAAAAACTTGGTTACCCCCCCCCCCAAAAATTTTTTTGAAAAAAAGTTTAACGTGGTCCCCTCTGTGAACTTTCGAAAAAAAAATTCTCAAGAAATCGGCAGCGGTAGTTTGACAGGTAGTAAATTTTTCTCTGGAGGCTGGAGATTGTTTGAACCCCGCGCCTAAACCAAAAGTGCCCGCCCGACCCTGCTTCCATTTAAACAATATCAACCGGTATCACTCTGAAACTGAAATTCAACTGAGATTGTTCTACTCAAAAGATGTAACTACCCTAGCACTCGCTTAATCAAATCTCTTTCTTTAGCTAATTTACTCCAAAATAAATTTTCACTTTTCAAAGAAAAAAAACCAAATCTTGTTAATACTTTGCATTGATTTTCCTTTTTCCTTATTCTAAAATTTTTAAATCATAAAAAGTTATATAAGAACTAATAAACCATGCCTTAAAAATAGATAAAATACCTACTTCTTCTTTCTATAATGTTAGGTGCCGACATAAAGAAACCGCCATTTTTTACAGGAAATTACATGAGAAGTATGGCGGGTTCTTTATGTCGACACCTAATAGATCCTTTTTAGAGCCGATCCTCCGGCACGCAAGTGCTAGCCAAGACCCTTTCAAACTTGCTTCGGCTTGGCTTGGGCCTTTATATAAGATTTAGTTCGGCTTTGCGAGGCCAAGCATGGGCTGAGACCGGGTCCTTTTCGGATCAACTTTCTCTTCTCATAACTATGTAATTTTAATAACACAATTTTTCTAACTATCTTCCCTGCATCGCCTTAAAACCAAAACAAACCGCTCTCTCCCCCCCCCCCTCTCAACCAAAAATTATGTATATACAAATATATTTATCCTAACACCATAAATTTCGTAAATTCACTTCTTTTCCAGTCATCAAATACTAATTCCTACACTCGGTTACAGTAAAAACAAGTAAATAATCCCTTTTTATACCCAAAAATGTAAAATAATATGTTCTTTAATTCTCAAAGTTTTTAAAGTGTCGCCACGTGTCATTTCTTAAAAACCTGGTTAAAGGTTCTCATTACCATAAAATAAAATTTTTTTTCTATTTTTAAACAGGATTAAACCTACAAGCCTAAATCAATCCTAATAGCCAAAGCCTAGAAGCCTAATCCTATAAGACTACTACTGTAAACCTAAGACGAGAAGCCTAAGCACAAGCTCAATATTAAAACTATAGCCAAAGGCCTAGGCGTAAAAAACCTCAAAATCTGAGCTAAAAAGCCTAATCCTAAAAGTCAAAACACTAAGCGTACGCCAAAAAAACAAAGCCTAAGCTTAAACGCCTAAACAAAAACATTACAGTTTAACACCTTCAGCAAAAATTTAAAAGCCTAAGCCTAGAGAGCCTAAGTCATTCTAAGCCCAAAAGCCTAAGACTAGAAACATAAGCCTAGAAGCCACAACCCAAGCCCTATTATGACTCCAATGTTTCGTAACAAAATACACTTATCAGCCCTGCAAAACTAATGCAATGAAGTGGTAGAACATGAAAAAAAACCAGTATCAATAACTTAATTTTAATTTTTTTCTATTAATTTCATCAAATTTTCACGTTTATTTCATTAGTTTTTAATCTAATTGATTAGTCTAGACTAAGAATTCAAGTGCTAAAGTGGGGCACGGCTGCTTATGTTTTAAAAATTCAACATAAACCTAAACCCGAAATTCAAAGCCTAGAAGCCAAAGCCTAAGCCTAAAAGTTTAGAAGCCTAAACAAAAAAATTTAAGTTTACACAAATTTTAAATTTCGAAAAGTTTTTGATGTATGAAATTTCAAAAAAAACTTTAAAATATTTCAAAATTTTGTTCCGCAATGACATGGATCCCCTTTTATACGGTCTTCGTTACCTTTTTTAGCTCATTAGCTCCAATTGGCAGTCTTCTATGTCTCGGAAATTGTCAGATTTTCAAGAAAATTAAGGTAAATATGCAAATTAGAGAAACATTTGATTCAATTCACAAGTGTTTCACAAAGTTAGTGTCAAAAATTGTATCTGACTGTCAGACGCAATGTCATTCAAACTTCGATTAGTTGTGTATGGCTGAGGTTTTCTATAGGCAAGCTTAAAAACTTAAGACTAGAAGCCAAAGACTAAACCTAGAAGCCTAAGTCTAGAAGCCTAAGCCAAGAAGCCAAAGCCTAGAAGCCTAAGCCTAGAAGCCTAAGCCTAGAAGCCTAAACCTAGAAGCCTAAACCTACAAGCCTAAGCCTACAAGCCTAAGCCTACAAGCCTAAGCCTACAAGCCTAAGCCTACAAGCCTAAGCCTACAAGTCTAAGCATAGAAGTCTAAGCCTAGAAGCCTAAAAGGCTAGAAGCCTAAGCCTAGAAGCCTAAGCCTAGAAGCCTAAACCTAGAAGCCTAAGTCTAGAAGCCTAAGCCAAGAAGCCAAAGCCTAGAAGCCTAAGCCTAGAAGCCTAAGCCTAGAAGCCTAAACCTAGAAGCCTAAACCTACAAGCCTAAGCCTACAAGCCTAAGCCTACAAGCCTAAGCCTACAAGCCTAAGCCTACAAGCCTAAGCCTACAAGTCTAAGCATAGAAGTCTAAGCCTAGAAGCCTAAAAGGCTAGAAGCCTAAGTCTAGAAGCCTAAGCCAAGAAGCCTAAGCCTAGAAGCCTAAGCCTAGAAGCCTAAGCTTAAAAACTTAAGACTAGAAGCCAAAGACTAAACCTAGAAGCCTAAGTCTAGAAGCCTAAGCCAAGAAGCCAAAGCCTAGAAGCCTAAGCCTAGAAGCCTAAGCCTAGAAGCCTAAACCTAGAAGCCTAAACCTACAAGCCTAAGCCTACAAGCCTAAGCCTACAAGCCTAAGCCTACAAGCCTAAGCCTACAAGCCTAAGCCTACAAGTCTAAGCATAGAAGTCTAAGCCTAGAAGCCTAAAAGGCTAGAAGCCTAAGCCTAGAAGCCTAAGCCTAGAAGCCTAAGCCTAGAAGCCTAAACCTAGAAGCCTAAACCTACAAGCCTAAGCCTACAAGCCTAAGCCTACAAGCCTAAGCCTACAAGCCTAAGCCTACAAGTCTAAGCATAGAAGTCTAAGCCTAGAAGCCTAAAAGGCTAGAAGCCTAAGCCTAGATGCCTAAGCCTATAATTTTAGATGCTTAATCATACAAATCTAAGCCTAAAAACGTAAACCTAGATGTCTAAGCGTAAGCCTAATAAGTTGAGTTTACAAAACAAAGTCCAGAAGCCTAAGCCCATAAGAAAGCCCAAACCTGGACGTCAAAGCCTAAAGACCTAAAACCAAAAAGCTATAACCTATAATAAGCAAAAGACTAAAATAATACGCCGATAAACATATATTTTAAAAAACTTCATCAAAATAAGAAAATAAGAACAGAAGCCTACTCTTCAACAGCCAAAAGACGCAATTGAAAACTTGTAAAAACTTTATACAATCTATTAATAATGAGCTATAAAATTCAAAGAAAAATCGTTAAAAATCTGTAAAAATCCACAAAAATTCAAAAAAAGGTTAGTTATTAAAGTCCATAAGATTTCCAATCATTATAATATGTATTCCTCATCATCCAAGACCCAAATCGTAATGCTCGCGACCCGTCTTCTCTGCATGTCATTGTTGTCAAAGTTGATAATCACGTACTCTCCACTGGCTCTGGTTTCATCCTCACCGTACGTGGTCATTCCTCTAGTGCTGAAGCCTTCGGTGATGACATCTTTTCCGTATTGAAAGCTGAGATCCATCACAATTTGCTCGATACCGCCTTCGTAATCGCATGTTTGAGCAACTATCGTTTCGTTAATTTCGGATTCTGGAATTTCAAAGTCGTCCAGGTATTCTTCATAGACCTCGAAAAATTGAAGATGGCAAAATAAGTTTCGTAAGAGCTCGTGTTTGTTCTGGAAAAGTCAAAATTAATCAAAAAAAGTAAAAAATCAGGCTATGAAATATAAAGTTTTGGCTAAAATAAAGTAAAACGCTACCTAATATCATCTGTCTTGACCAAACAAAGATAAAAATGTTAGTTAAAGTAACATTTTTAGATAAAACAAGCACAAATGTTACCTAAAGTGAGCTTTATTGATCAAAAAACTCAAAAAATGTTACCTAAAATCCTCCTTTTTGACCAAACAAAGAGAAAAATGTTAGTTAAAGTAACATTTTTAGATAAAACAAGCAAAAATGTTACCTAAAATCAGCTTTTGTGACTAAAAAACAAAAAATGTTACCTAAAGTCATGTTTTTAGCCTAAAAATCCGATAATTGTTACCTAAAATTTTAATTCAAAAAACGTCAGTTAAAACCACCCTTTTTCGCACTGAAAACGCCTTCAGGCTCCAACCCAACCCAAATATTACCCACCTTAAACAAAGGAAACGTATATTGCACATTGATCTTCAGCCACATCAGTTTTGGAAAGAATTCGCTCCAGTTCTTTATCAATGGGGCTGCGTCATAAATACTCATCGGTGCATAATACTCGAATCGTTCTACTATTTCATTCGGCACAAAACTTTTAAAATGCTCCAGGTCAAAGTCAACATTCCCATGCACTGCCAGACTTTTGGTATTCACACCAAAAAGAGCAGTGTAATCTGAAAAATATTGAAATTATGGTAAAATTGGCAAGGTTGAGGTATGAGATTGATATACATTGTGAAAAAATGTCTCTGTTACGAGATAATACCAAGTAATCTAAAGAAATCCCTAAAGCTTAGCAGAAAAATGAAGTTTTATATTATTCATGATCTATATAAAACGCTTTAAGAAAAAATCAAATTTACAGTAAGAAACCGTACAAATCTAGCTATAAAATACAAAATAAATCTTCGAAAAACCCTTAATTTCAAAATAAAGTCAATAAACTTTCATAACTTCTTCAAGTTTTCCTAAAACTCAAATTTTATATTACCCACAATATTAACCTTCATATTTTTCAGAAAAAACCAAATTTATCTCTTAAAACCCTACAACTTACTCTGTGTGTCCTTCGACCCATTTAGCAAAAACTCTGAATTATGTACAACAAGCTCATCCAACACCAATTCATCAGGAAATCGCTTGTAGAGAGCCCAACTTGTTTTAACGGATCGCACCAATGGGTACAAATTCTCCAAAAAATATTGAAATGGTAAACGTGAACCAGCAGGAAAATAGAAAGCCAAACTGATGTGTTCTACTTTCCTCAACTCTGGAATTAAACGTAATTTGTTATCAATCAGCTTTGCAACAGAGCTTTTGCAATAAGAATAAGCTTTTCGGCCCTAAAACCAAAAAAATACAAAAAGTTTAAAAACTTACTTCGAACCAAAGCCACCGCTTGTCGGACAATTGCTAAACTGCTTTGAGCAGCTAGCCAGACATTCAACTTGGTTGGGTTTAAAACCCGGAGCAACTGTTCCACAACCGTCGCGGTCTCCGGCACGTAATGACAATAGGAAAACTCGGTCGATACTGCAATCGATGCTACAAAGAGATGAAACTTTCCAGACAATGGCATTTCTTTCAGAAACTTTGTAGAGACTAGCTAAAACATTATTTTATGAAAACTTCAGTGATCAAAGCGAAGTTCGAAAATTTGCAAACAATTTTCGATGTTATCCATGAACACCAGGTGAGTGGTCCAAGAAAATCTCTAAATGTCTATTTTATATATATTTCAAAGCTCAAAAAGCAAAGCCAAACGTTTACAAATCTTTAGCCAACATGTATCAACCAAAAAACTAGGCATACCTCCCTCAAATAAATCTAAATCATACAAAACCTTCTACCACCTGCATTCGTCATGAATAATATCGGAAAACCTTTCTATACTGTCAAACCCATTAAAATTGTACCTAAAACCAAGCAACATCAAAAAACTTACGCATATTCTAGCTTTTGGGACCTCGAACTCTTGCGCACTCCATCGCAACATCCATTCCGCGCCTTCTGATGTTAACGTAGGCCGCATGTTAGTAAAAATTGTGCAGTTAAGAAAAAATGAAAGTTAAAAAGTATTATTAGGTTACAAAGTCGTTTTTATGAAAGATTAGGTTGGAAGAAACACTTGATTGGCAAGAATTTGCCGCCGTTTGCTTACTTTCACGCGTGCTTGCGATGGGAAAGAAAAGAAAGCTGCGCCCGAGATAGTGCAGGCTGCAGAAGGACTTTATGCGATAAATGAACACAAGCTTTTGCAAAATGATAATTACGAACGAATATAGTAAAAATACCTATATTTTATTATAAAAAACATATTTAATCAATACTTTACACTATGATAACCTGTTGCTTCATTTATTTACAACATCAGATACAACTCGCATTTTGGTCAGTAGCTTCATTGAAGATGTTGTCGATGAAATTCGTTGCCAAATCACATTGCTTTGATAGAATAGTAGTTTTAAGTCGACATACATCAGCGTATTCAGCTTTATTGTCACCAGTCCGTTCCATTTTGAGATCCTCATCAGCGCAAGTGTCACTATTTACCTGTCGGTTATTTTCGGCTTCTATTTCCTTTAGGACGTCACTGTAAAGAAAAAAAAATAAAAGTGGTTAAAACAAGCCTATCTTCCTTATTTCAAACAATTTTTTAATTTATATCCTTAAGCCTAAATAAATAAGCCTAAACTTAAGCCTATAGTTCAAAACTGTGTAAAATTTAAAACTAAGCCAAAATTACATTACAAATGCCAAAACTTACAAAAAGTCTTCATTAATTGCTGGTTTCGGTTCATTTTCAACTGGATTTTGCAATTTTTCCAAAAATTGGTCGATATTTTGTGGCTCTTGAAGGCTATCACAGTATGGTACCAAAATTTCTGGAAATATCAAAAATGTACTATACATGCCCACAACGCCATAAAATAGTCAAAAAAGTCAATTTTTATCATATTTTAAAAAATCCGGTAAAAGCTTGCACAGTGCAACAAAAAATCTGCACTGTAAAATCAATTTTAAAATTTCAATTTTTTTTTTATTTTTAAACCCAAACCTTCCTCAAATTCTCTTACCTGTCATATCTTTCAACTTCTCCAAACAATTCTTCAGAAACTCGGTTTCCTTGTCCAATACAGCAAGCTCATCCTCGGCATCCTTAATATCTCCTTTTGCCTTCTGAACCTTCACGAAAAAATCTTCAACGTCTTCAGAATCTTTAAGAAGATTGATTTTAGCAGCATCCTCTTCATTCTTATACTTGAGCCTAAGCTTATTTTCAATCAACACCTCGCCAATATCTACCAGACTTTGATCGAATGCAGCTACACAAGCTTCGGAACAACATGGTATTAATTCACGTCTGGACAGACCATTCGGTAGGGGTTTTTCCTAAAAGTACCATACTATATAGTATCATAATACGAAATGTTGTGACATTGCACGGCTCCCCAAACCGCAAAATCAATCAAAATATAGATTCGTTATCGATCGTCTTTTTCGATAATTTGTGACTTTTCGTTATTGCGGCCGCTTTTTTATTTTTTGTCGTGTTTTCGGCTGTAATAGGGTCCAAACTTTACGGATTTTCATCGGTTTTGTTCCCAGAGAAGCGGAAAAATATAGTTAATATTGAACAAAATTTAAAACTAAAACCATGTCTTACAACATATAAATCGTGTAATTTAAAATATATTTTTTTTTATTTTTAATTATTCGAATCAATCGTGGAGGCGACGAAATGTCTACAATCGATTTTTTCATAATTTTCTATTTTTGGGGAGCCGTGCATTGGCTCTTTTATTCACAATGTTATGAATAAAAGTTCAAAGCACAACAAAATAAGAGAAATTTTTGAATTTAAACTTGGCACGGTTCCAGTAAATGTGTCATATCTTCTAAACCAATAACCCTACTCTTCCATAAATCTGCACAAAGCTCAACATTAAGATGCGTTACAATATAATATTTGACTCTAACCAAAACATCCAGTTAAAACTTCAAAATTTAAAAAAAAAAGTTACCAGTCCTACACTATCACCTAAAACAATACCAAACCACGTTTTTTGACCAAATATAAACCCAAATACATAAATAAAACATAAGAAGACGTACTTCGCCATGTGATTCAACACCGGAAAACTTTTCAATCTTCTTAAACCATTCTTTTGATCGTAGCCGACGTAACCATGTTAAAGTACCTTTTTCGAAACCAGCAGTCTTTTTCCTGAAAATAAACCGAAATTAAAAAAGAATTTTTTAAAAAATACTGCTGCAAGCTGTAAACATGATGAAGCTCAAGCTTAACTAACTTACCTTACCACCGCTTCGAGGTCAGACATTATTAAAAATGAAATTATCATCTAAATTTTTTGAAACAAAATCAAATTTTTAAAATTACATTTTTGATATGACAAAAAATAAAAATTTTCTTTATTCATGTTTTGAATTATTTTCATTTCACTGTTTTATTCAATTTCGTTTTATTCTTCCGTTTCAAACTGTTGAACAACGAGCCACTTGACCCAAAGCAAGAGCGAAACTCGACGCAGAATAATATTATTTTTATTTTCGGCCTTATTTTAACGAATTTTCCTGTTCTACTATCTAAAATGGGTTCCAAAGACATGAAGGACATTGTTGGAATGGACAAAGACGACCTTTCTCGTAATAAAGCAGTAAAAGTAAGTCTTATATATTGTTTTAGATCTTTAAATTTAGATAAATCGTCCGCCAATGAAACGTCCGTCTGGAATGAGTCGAGAACTTTACAATCTAATGGCTCATGGGCCCAACGAGGAGAATCTATTAATTGCCGTGCCTTCTGGAAACAATGACAAGCAGTTTATGAAAAAACAGGTAGGATAAGGTTATCGTTTTGCTTGATAATAATGTTTTAGATTATGTTTCGAAAAGTGAGGAAATGGCATTGGAGACCGTTTGAACACCAAGGAAGAACAGACGGGTATAAATTGAGTCATTGGGAACGAGAAGATTTGAATCAAAACGAGCCTTACATTTTTGCTAGGATGAATAAGGTAATTTTGGAGCTTTTTGTGTTTCAACGTTTAGGTATAGAAATGATTGTGCTTTTAAAGGTTGTACAAGATAATAGTGTTGCTGTTTTAGCGTTTAAATCTACCTCGATTCACACAAGAAGAATATGAGCGGCACTTCCAAGCTGACAGATGGACTTTTGAATCCACTGATTATCTTTTCGAAATGTGTGAACGTTTCGACCTCCGATGGCCAGTTATCAACGCGAATTTTGACACAAAACATGGTGTATTCTCTATGGAAGATATGAAGGATCGATTTTATCGGATATCTAACTTATTAAAGCGAGACAAGAACCTTGATGGTGCCATCTACCACTTTGACGCAGAAAATGAAAGAAAGCGGAAGTTACAGCTGGAAATGTTGTGGAATCGAACTGAAGATGAAGTAATTAGCTTTTAAAGGGTTTTTTTATAATTTAGTTTTGAGTATGGGTGTTATATTTTGGAAGTTTTATTGAGTACCAATGTTGTTTTAGATAAAAGAAGAAGAAATGTTGCGAGCTCAAATGAGAAGGATCGAGAACCGTCGTAAAGAACGAGAAAAACGTACTCAAGATTTACAAAGACTTATTAATGTTGTGGAACGAAGTGCTAGTCCAGAACCGTGAGTTTTACTTGTTTTATTTGTTATATTGTTTTAGATTGATCTGAAGGAAGTCTAAAATATTTGATATAAAGAGAATGTCTTTGGTCTTTGGCTTAAAATGTCTTGGCAGATAAAAACAATCTTAGTAACAATAATTTGGGTAATAACATAATCTTTTATTCGTTATATTGTTATAGGAACGGATCAACGACAGGCAATCAAACTCGATCAAGTCGACGTGCCCAAAAACAACCGAAAACTCAGATGATGGCGGCACATTTGTTTTCAAATGACATTCCAAACCTACGGGTAGTTGAATACAAGTCTGCTGGACCTCATCTTCGATCGCAGGAGATGAAGTTGCCCAGCAATTTGGGCCAAAAAAAGCTCAAGGCAATCGATGCGGCCGTGGAGAAGTATCAAATTCGTAAGTTTTTAATAGATTTTTTATTGTAAATGCGGATTTAAGGGTGTTTTGGTGTAGGACTTAGTAATTTAGATATTACTAACTAAAAAGTGTCCCGCTACTTTTGGTTCAACCTAATATATTAGATTGTTCAAATAATTCTGTGCCTTATATATAAACGAATTTTTGGAGTTGGAGGCACAGAATTATTTAAAAACCTAATCTTTTTAAATTTAATTTTTTAAATTTTAGCATTGGCCCTACCTGCTCACGAAGAAATCGTCCGCTTGTTCAACGACTTCCGAGCTCGTGTTGTTTTCGCCCAAGAACTTCGAAATGCACTTCAAGGAACCCAATGATCTCACTATTTTAAGATGTTAATAAAGTAAAATCACGCTAATGACGAGAGAACATCGATTTTTTGTAGGTTTATACTTTCTATAAAAAAAAGTTGGAAATCAACCTGAGCTGGGACAGGTTGGGCACTTTTCTTGTAATCTCGGGCCAGTGCTAGGTGTAGGGCTCGAACTATTAGGTTGTTCAAATAATTCTGCGCCCCTCCCCCCTACCCCACAAGTTTGCTTTGATGGGGGGGGCAGAATTAAGTGAACAACCTAATATTAGGTGCCGACATAAAGAACCCGCCATTTACAGAAAAAGTATGGCGGGTTCTTTATGTCGGCACTTAATATTATAGGTGTATGGCTCTTAACTAGGTGTAAACATCAACACAATCTTGCAAAATAAAAAAAATTTCTATAGTCAAAAAGCCTTAGCAAATTTATGATTTACAATAATAACTTACACTACAATGCCTTTCCTAACACTGTAAAATTAAAAAAATCTTTTAATTATGCGTCTCAAATTGCGTGTATTGTCCGCATTTCCGGCTAAACAAACAAATTTGGACGTTGTGTGTTTGAAACGCCGCCAAATTGTCAGCGAAAGTGGACAATCGAGTCCAGATTAAGCCTAAGATTAGCTGTGTAAAAACCTCTTTTTGCGATTTTTTAATGTAAATAACTGAGTGAGATAAAAAAAAAGTAGCGCAGGGCATGGTAAAGTAGGACATGGTAGGGTAGGGCAGGATTAGTTAGGGTAGGGCGTGGTAAAGTAGGACATATTAGTATATGATAGAATAGGGCAGGACAAGATAGGACAGGCAAGGTACAGTTGGATAGGGTATGCCACGGTTCGGGTAGGGTAGGATAGGATTTAGCAATAGGGTAGACTATGATTTCAAGGGCAGAGTAAATTTTTGTTTTAGCATGAAATTTAAGGGTTTTGTTAAATTTTAAGGGCTGGGTCGATTTTTAAGGGTGGAGTGGATTTCTAAAGGCGGTGTAGGTAGTTAAGGAAAAGGGAGGTTTTTAACAAAAGCTTAAATTTTTCAGTAGTTAGAGTAGGGTAGGGTAGGGTAGGGAAGGGAGGGTAGGTTAGGGTAGGGCAGTGTAGGGTAGGGTATGGTATGGTAAGGTAGGGTAGGGTAGGGCTGCTTAAAAATACGTCCTTATGCTTGCTTTACGCTTGTTTTTTTTTTATTTTTTGCGGCTTTTGTAGCAGCAGATGTTACTTTTTTTGTCATTCTTGTCATCTTCGATCTTCTTCGCGCATTTCCCCACATCTGACCTGTCATTTCAATTTTTGAATTTTCTACATTGGCCATACATTTTGCTTGTTTTTGTCGTTATAATCTTTCTCCTCGCTCTCCCCCCCCGCTTACTACGCTGTTTCACTTAACTTCCCCCCCTTTATCCACCTTACCCCGCCCTGGATTCTTCAATCAGTATTATAAAAAAAACTTCTCCATGCCCTCACCAATAATAACTTTCCAAGCTTAAAAACCTTTCAAAAAGAAATGGCAAAAGTAGAAGAATAAGGAATGCTGAATAAGATTGGCCAGGTGGCTGGCAGGGGTGGGTGATCGATAAAATTGCGGCGTTTCCCAAAAACCGACATTTGCATACGAGCGATTGTTCTCATTCAAAATTAAAAAGAATCATAAGCGAATCTTATCTTTTGAGGAAGAGAGAGGGGGTGGGTGCTTTATTTCAAAAAATTGTGAGACGGAGAGACGGGGGGGGAGGAAGGAAGGTAGGTTACGCCTAGCAAGGGTAATGTAAGAGGGCAGGGTAAGGACGAGCAAAGCAGATCAAGGCAGGGAAGGAGAAGACAGCGAAAGACAGGACAGGGTAAACAGAACAGGTCAGGGCAGGACAGAGCAGAACAAGTATGAGAGGACATGGAATCGCAAGCAAAGGCAGTTTACGGTAGAGTAGGACAGGCAAGGCACAGGCAAGGCACAGGCAAGGCAAAGCATGGCATGGCAAGGCATGGCGGGAGAGATAAAAAAATTTATTTTTTTTAATTGACAGTGAAAAACGGAAAAATAAAAAATGTCGAAACAATTTTTGACTAAAATTTAAAAATGCAAAATTCGGAATGAGTGTTTGACATGTTTTGAAACCGTTCCATCATTTCGCTGGCGCTGAAATCAAGAAAAAGAAAGGCAGAAAGAAGAAGCGCGCATTCGGTTTTGGCCTTTTCAATTCATAATGTTTGCCTTGAGAAAAATAGGGCAGGGTAAGGAATATTATAAAAATTATTTTACGTAGGGCAGGGTAGGGACTATTTTTAAAAGTATTTTAGGTTGGGCAGGCTAGGGTAGAAACCATTAAAATTTCGTTTGGGGGGTAGGGTAGAAACTATTTTAAAAATACTAGGAAAGGGTAGGGAATATTATAAAAATTATTTTAAATTGGGCAATGAAAGGTAGAATCTGTTAGAATTTTATTTGAAAGGGTAGGGTGGGAAACATATTTTAAAAGAATAGCTGGGTAAGGACTGTTGGTAGAATTATGTCGAGTAGGGCAGGGTAGAGACTGTTAAAGAGATATTGGAAAGGCAGGATAGAAACTACGTTTTAAAATTACGTCGGGTAGGGCAGGTAGGGACTATTATTAAAATTATTTTGGGTATGGCAGGTTACCAACTATTAAAATTATTTCATGTAAGCCAGGATGTAATAACAAAGAATACAGAAGGCTGTGGTAATATTTGGCTTGTCTAGGCCTAGAACTGGTATTAGTGGTGGCAGTAGATTTTAAGGGGTAATGACAGGCAAGCGCAAGGTTTTATTTGTCTAATGTTGAGATGTGGCAGGGCTCTGGGCTAGTGCAATGGGCTAGGGCTCTGGGCTAGGGCTCTGGGCTAGGGCTCTGGACTAGGACTCTGGGTTAGGGCGCTGGGCTAGGGCTCTGGGCTAGGGCTAGGGCTCTGAGCTAGGGCTCTGGGTTAGGGATAGGGTTTGATAAGATAATATTTTTGACGTTACAAAGATATGGTTACTTTTGTTTTACATTACTTTCCCTCTCATGAACAACTGATTTCATCTCCACTTTTTGGGTTCTTTGCCGAACTGTCAGCGCACAAAAACTGTCAGAAAAAAAGGGGAAACGAGTGAAAAATGAAGCCATTCAAGGCTAATTTCAAGCAAGCTTCTAGTGGCTCGCAAATCATAAAGATGATTTGTTAACAATGGCTCTGGTTTTGTTGCATTTGTTGGGAAAAATAAGTTTGGAAAGAAAAAATGGCAAGAACTTTGTTTACAAAACAAAAAAGGCAAGAACTTTCTTTACAAAACAAAAAATTGCAAGAACTTTGTTTACAAAACAAAAAATGGCAAGAACTTTCTTTACAAAACAAAAATGGCAAGAACTTTCTTTATAGGGCAAAAAATGGCAAAAACTTTCTTTACAAAACAAAAAATTGCAAGAACTTTCTTTACAAACTAAAAAATTTTATTTTTAAAAAGTTTTTGTTGTTTGTTCAGCAATTCGGCTTGTGTAAATTAAATTACCACTCTATAGTCATATATTAACCCAAACAAGCCATAAATTTGCATATTATGTTTGCATGACCGCTCGCCTCATCATTAAGCGAACGCAGCCCCTCTCTGCCATTCATTATACCGCTTATTTCTGTGGCTTAGATCGGCGTTTTTTCTTACCCTGACATTATAGATTCAGCTGTTGTGGGGGTTTTTTGCGGCGGGGTATTTTTTCGTATTTTTGTCGATTTTATGGGCTGTTAATGGGCAATGTTGCAAAAGTGGTTTTTTTGGATGGGGGATGGGGTAAAGTAGACCAGATCTGTAAAAGAGATGGGTCGGGCTCAACTTTTTGACCCGAATTGGACTTGGCTTACTTTCAGGCTTAAGCTGAAGCTATGGCTTGAGTGTAAGCCTAAATACTTATGTTTGCTTAGTCTGAGATTTATGTTGAGGCTTTATCTGAGGCTTGGCTTAGAATATGACTTTAGAACTTTAGGCTTAGACTTGTGATTTTAGAGTTGTAAGCTGAATTTTGTAGGCTGGTAGGCTCAGGCTTGTAATCTTGGACTTGTAGGCTATAGTATTAGACTTAAACTTGTAGGCTTAAGCTTTTAGGCCGTTTTAGACAAAGATTTGTAGTTTTAGGCTTATAGGTTAAGCTGTAAGCTTAGGCTTAGGCTTCTAAGCATAGGCTTCTAGGCTTAGGATTCTAGGCTTACATTAGGCTTCTACACTTTGGCTTCTGAGCTTAGACTTCTTCTTAGGCATAGATTTAAACTTACGCTTAATTTCACGTTTAGTCTTAGCTTCAAGCATTGGTATATTTCTTGCTTTAGGCTTAGCTTGGGGTTAAGCGGGTGCTTTGGTTAGCTTTAGCTATAGTTTGGCTGTTTAAGCTGAGGTTCTCCTTTGCCGTGCCCTACTTTACCCTGCCTTACCTTGTTTTTCCATGCCTCTATTCCTTACATTACTTACTGCCATTCCATATGTAGCAAATAAGTCAAAACTGATCAATTATTTGCGAGTTATAAATTTTAATGGCATTCGCGCTGTCTGTCATTTGTCCGAGGCGATTAATCGCTTCTTCTGTTTCATTCTTAAAGGGGGCTTTTGTTCCTCGCCTGATTTACGGTCCCACGGAAAATTTTTTTTGGGGGGTGGGGGAATGGGGGAAAGAGAGAGGAGTGTTTGGCCTTCTGAATGTCTTGCGTCTCTTCAATGCTTCGCTAGTGTAATATTGATGTCTTGGCTCGGGGAATTGAAACAAACATTGTTTTTTTTGTTTGAACGGCGGAATGAAATTTTTAAAATAAGTTTTTTTGGTTTGCCATGTACTGCTTAGGACAGGGTAAAAAGGGGAAGAATTTTTGGGTAGGTTGAAAAGAGTATGATAGAGAAGCCTAGGGTAGAGTAAATTCAGGAAGAGTAGGGTAGGGTACATTATGTTGAGTAGGGAAGGGCAAACTAAGGTAGTGTAAGGTAGGGCAAGTTCAAGTACAGTAAGGTAAAGTAAATTTAGGGAGAGTA